GTTCAAGCAGTTTTTGGGTAGAGTCTATAGGATTTTCCATGTACACTATCATGTCATCTGCAAACAGTGACAGTTCTGTTTCCTCTTTTCCTACCTGGATGCCTTTTATTTACTTTTCTTGCCTGATCACTGTGGCTAAAACTTCCAATACTATATTTAATAGAAGTGGTGAAAGTAGACATCCTTGTCTTATTCCTGATCTTAGAGAAAAAGATTTTAGTTTTTGCCTATTGAGTATGATGTTGGTTGTAGGTCTCTCATATATGGCCTTTATTATATTGAGGAATGCTCCCTCTATTCCCACTTTGCTGAGTGTTTTTATCATAAATGGGTGTTGTACCTTATCAAAAGCTTTTTCTGCATCTATTGATATGATCATGTGATTTTTGTCTTTGCTTTTGTTTATGTGATGTATTACATTTACTGATTTGCGAATATTGAACCATCCTTGCATCCCAGGGATGAATCCCACTTGATCATGGTGTATGATCTTTTTGATATATTGTTGGATGCGATTTGCCAATATTTTGTTGAGGATTTTAGTGTTTATATTCATTAGTGATATTGGCCTGAAGTTTTCTTTCTTTGTTGTATCTCTGTCTTGTTTGGAATTAGGATGATGGTGGCTTCTTAAAAAGAGTTTGGGAATTTTCCATCCTTTTGAATTTTTTGGAATATTTTTTGAAGAATAGGGTTTAGCTCTTCCTTAAATGCTTTGTAGAATTCTCCTGTGAACCCATCTGGTCCAAGGCTTTGGTATGATAGGAGTTTTTTTATTACTGCTTCAATTTCTTTAGCTGTTATTGGTGTGTTCAGATTTTCTGCTTCTTTTTCATTGAGTTTTGAAGATCATATTTTTCTAGAAATTTGCCCATTTACCTTAGGTTCTCAAATTTCTTGGCATACAGTTGTTTTTTTTAAAATTTTTTATTGATTATGCTGTTACAGTTGTTCTATTTCACCCTTCATTCCCCTCCCCCCTACCCCCCCATCCCCACCATTACCCCCCCCTTAGTTTATGACCATGTGTCTCAATTCCTTTAGATTCTATATTTCCCATGCTATTCTTGCCCCCCCCATCTATTTTCTATCTACTGTCTATGCTACTTATTTTCTGTACCTTCTACGCCCTTCTCCTCCTCCCACTCCCCTGTTGCTAACCCTCCTTGAGATCTTCATTTCTATGTTTCCACTCCTGATCTAGCTGTCCTTTTAGTTTGCTTTTGTTTTAGGTGTGGTTGTTAATAACTGTGAGTTTGTTGTCCTTTCACTGTTCATGTTTCTTTAACTTCTTTTTCTTCGATAAGTCCCTTTAACATTTCATATAATAAGGGCTTGGTGATGATGAACTCCTTGAATTTGATCTTATCTGAGAAGCACCTTATTTGTCCTTTCATTCTAAATGACAGTTTTGCTGGGTAGAGCAATCTTGGTTGTAGGTCTTTGGATTTTATGACTTGGAATACCTCTTTCCAGCCCCTTTTTGCCTGTAAGGTCTCTTTTGAGAAATCTGCTGACAGTCTGATGGGGACTCCTTTGTAGGTGACTGTCCCCTTAGCTCTTGCTGCTTCTAGGATTCTCTCCTTCATTTTAATTTTGGCTAATGTAATTATGATGTGCCTTGGTGTGTTCCTTCTTGGGACCAACTTCTTTGGGACTCTCTGAGCTTCCTGGATTTCCTGGATTTCCATCTATTTCCTTTGCCAGGTTGGGGAAATTCTCCTTTATTATTTGTTCAAATAAGTTTTCCACTGGTGGCTGTGCCTTTCCCCCTTCTGGTACCCCTATAATTCGGATGTTGGAGCGTTTAAAGATGTCCTGGAGGTTCCTAAAACTCTCCTCATTTCTTTGAATTCTTGCTTCTTGACTCTTTTCTGTTTGGCCATTATTTGCTTTCTTCTGGTCCACTCCATTGATTTGAGTCCCAGTTTCCTTTTCATTGCTATTGCTGTCCTGTGCCATTCCATTCATTTCAATTAGTTTCACCTTCATATATTTGTCTAATTTGTCGGTATAATCAACCAGTTCTGTGTGGATCCTGATGACCAGTGTTTTAAACTGTGTGTCTGAGAGTTTTGCTATTTCTTCCTCACTTAGATCTATGGGCACTGGGTCTTTGAGATCTTGTGACATTTTTGGTCTGTTCTGGCCCTTTAATTGTGAGAAGTGGTGCCTAGGACTCCCAGGTAGCTGGGTTGTGAAGCTGTATGTGGGGGCGTGGTTAGAGCGGGAAAATGGCGACCCCCTCTGCTGTTTCTCACAGCTGGGTGAGGATTAGTGTCTTAGGTGGTTCACCTGGACCGGGCCACTCAGAATCGCTGGGTTATGATGCTATATGTGGAGGTGGGGTCAGAGCGGGGAAATGGCGGCGCGCTCCACTGCCACCTGCCGTGGAGACCCGCCGGGCCCCGTTCCAACCGCCCACTCCTTTGCCTGTCCACCCGCGCACAAAGGTGCAACCACAGTCAACACACAGCACCGTTCCCCCGCTGTCTCCCCTGCGGTTGCTCGCCTGGTGGCTCGCTCGGTCGCTAACTAGGTCCAACCCTGGGCCTGGATTTGGCGAGTCTGGATTCCGCACCTGAGTCCGGCTGACCGAGACCTCCTGTGCAATCCCGCTTCACCAGCCGCTGGTTTCGCCCCTTACTGGTCAGGCTGAAGAATTTGTTGATATCAGACTTCCGAAAATTTCAATTTTCTGTGTTCTGGCTGTGTTTTCTGTTGCTAGTATTTAGTTGTCTCTAAACTTGGTTGTATGAAGAAGCACGGTGTCTCCACCTATGCCTCCATCTTGTCGGAAGTATGTTAAACAGTTAAGTCCATTTTATCTAGGGTGTTGTTTAATGCTGAAATATCTTTGTTGATATTTTGTTTGGAAGATTTGTCCATTTTTGACAGTGGGGTGTTAAAATACTATACTGTAATTGTGTTGCTTTCAATATCTTTCTTGAGGTCATGTAAGATTTGTTTTATATATTTGGGTATTCCTATATTTCATGCATATATATTTACGATGTTTATGTCTTCTTGGTGGATTCTGCTCTTGAGTATTATGAAGTGACCTTCTGGGTCTCTCTTTATGGCCCTTTTTTGAAGTCTATTTTGTCTGATATGAGAATTGCTACCCCAGGTTTTTTTCTTGTCAATTTACTTGAAATATTTGTTTCCAGCCTTTGACTTTTAGTCTGTGGTGATCTTTTGTCCTTAGGTGGGTCTCTTGTAGGCAGCATATGTGTGGGTCATGCTTTCTTATCCATTCAGCTATTCTGTGTCTTTTGATTGGAGCATTTAATCCATTTACATTTAAGGTTATTATTTATAAGTGCTTATTCATTGCCATTTTTGTACCTATGTTTCTCACTGTCTCTCTCTTTTCCCTCATTTCCTTAAAGCAGTCCTTTTAGTATTTCTTGTAGGGCTGGTTCAGTGGAGGCATAATCTTTTAGACTTCTTTTTATCTCGGAAGCTCTTTATTTGGCCTTCTATCTTGATTGAGAGCCTTGCTGGGTAAAGTAGTCTTTGTTGTAGGCCTCTGGTTCTCATTACTTGGAATATTTCTTGCTATTCTCTTCTTGCTTGGAGTGTTTCCATTGAGAAGTCAGTAGCTAACCTTATTGGGGCTCCCTTGTATGCTACTTCTTTTTTCTCCCTTGCTGCCTTTAAGATTCTCTCTTTGTCTTGGAATTTTGCCATTTTAATGATTTTGTGTCTTGAAGTGGGCCTCTTTGGGTTCCTCTTGATTTAGACTCTCTGTGATTCCTGGATTTGTGTAACTTTTTCTCTCATCAAATTAGGGACATTTTTTATCATTACTTTTTCAAATAAATTTTCTATTTATTGTTCTTCTTCTTCTGGTATTCCTATTATTCAGATATTATTATGTTTCATATTGTCTTGCATTTCTCTTAATCCCTCTTCATTTTTTCTGTGCCTCTTTTCATTTTCTTGCTCTTTCTGGGAGATGCTTTCTACCTTGTCCTCCAACTCACTGATTCTATCTTCTGCTTCGTTGATTCTATTTTTGAAACTTTCTACTGTGTTCTTCAATTTGGAATTTGTATTCTTAATTTCCTCTTGTCGGTTGCTGATTGTTTCTATTTCCTTTTTCATGTTGATATAGTTTGCGGAGAATTCATTGTAGCTCCCCTGTAGTTTCTGATAGCTCATTGTGAGTTCTTTGAGCTTTGTAATAAGCAGGGCTTTGAATTTACTATCTGATAGTTGATTTGCCTCTATTTCATCTAACATGCTTTCTGTTGGTTCCGCCTTTTCTTTCATTTTGGGATTGTTTGTCTTCCCATTGTTTTCAAGACTTTTCTTGTTAGCTTCAGCTTCTGATTTTGGTCTGTTCTGACTCCCTGGCTTTATGGTGTGAACTTTTGTGGTAGAATAGCTGTGAATTTCAGTGATGTAGGCTCCTGCAGGTATCTTGATAATCTTTGTTTCCACCTACTCTTTTTTTGTGTGTGTGCAATCAGTTGGAGGGGTAGGCCAAATGGTTTATGACAGCAGAAGAGTATTTTATGATAGTTACAATTACATCCAGTAGGGAAGAGATAGACGATCTTTAGGCTATATGTAATGTTAGCCATAATCTTCAACCCAACTTGCCACTTTTATGAAAGAATAAACAAAAGATAAGCTTCTTGTTGTGGAGGGAAGGCTTATCAGTTGGAACTAGAAAGCAGTGAGGTTGCAGATGGTCAGATTTTGAGGTAAGGTGAGAGTAAGGAATAGTAGATAGGTATATTGTGTGAGCAAATAGAGTTAATTACTCCAGTAATAGAATTCAGGAACTTGTAAAGTGGGATAAGATCTGGGAGATTAGTTGTGAAGTGTTTACAGTTATATAGAACAGCTATTATTTACAGTAGTATTAGAGTGAGAATCTTGTGACTGACTCTATGAGATCAGTCTGAATAGGGAGTGTAGAGCTTTGGGTAGTGTGCTAAAGGAAAAGAAGAGGCATAAGGTATAGAAAATTAGAAATACAGAGACATGGTGTTGTGCTCTGGGGAAGAGAGGAGGATTTGTAAACCCCGGAGCAAGGTTCTGCCTACCCGAGGCTGCTGCTGTGCGGAGACCCGGGGTGAAGCTACCATCACCATGTCTGACCAGGAGGCCAAACCTTCAACTGAGGACTTGGGTGATAAGAAGGAAGGAGAATACATTAAACTCAAAGTTATTGGACAGGATAGCAGTGAGATTCACTTCAAAGTGAAAATTATAACACATCTCAAGAAACTCAAAGAATCATACTGTCAAAGACAGGGAGTTCCAATGAATTCACTCAGGTTTCTCTTTGAAGGTCAGAGAATTGCTGATAATCACACTCCAAAAGAACTGGGAATGGAGGAAGAAGATGTGATTGAAGTTTATCAGGAACAAACAGAGGGTCATTCAATGGTTTAGATATTCTTTTTATTTTATTTACTTTTCCCTCAGTCCTTTTTTATTTTTAAAAATAGTTCTTTTGTAATGTGGTGTTCAGAATTGAATTGAAAACTGACCTCTACCCCCTATGTCTTTAAAACATCTGGTAATTTGAATTCTAGTGCCCATTCATTATTGTTTTGTTTTCATTGTGCTGATTTTTGGTGATCAAACTTTAGACCCCTTCATACAGCCCTCTCCTTTTTAAATATTACATGTGTGCACAGAGAGGCCACCTTTTTCAGGACTGTGCATTTTCAGGCTTGTGATAAATGAGGTCGACCAATGCAAGTGTTCCTAATGACATTTCTAATTGGCCGGGAAGTTCTAGCTTGTGATTGCTTCACTCCTGGACTATGACTTTCAGTGGGAGATGGAGGTTTTTCGGAGAACTGAACTGTGGAAAATGACCTTTCCTTAACTTGAAGCTACTTTTAACATCTGAAGGTCTGGACCAAAAGAAGAGAAATATCAGGTTGGAGTCAAGGTGACAGATAAAGCAAAAGTAAGACTAACTCCAGAGATGGCTTCCCTCAAGAAAAAGCATTTTAAGAGTAAAGAAAAATCTTGTCAGAAGATCCCAGAAAAGTTCTAATTTTCATTAGCAGTTAATAAACTTATTCATGCAGAAGTGTAAAAAAAAAAAAAGAAATACCTTGTGGAGGAAAGAACAGAGGATTCCTGTCATATAATACAATATAACCCGTTAAGACTAAGGAGCCTATACAGGAGGAAGAGGAATACAAAGATACCCTTAGAATATAAATGAAGTGAGAATAATGATAAAACAATACAAGTATGCAGCAACATACAAACAAAAGAAAACAGCACAAAAAAAGGCAGAAGAAGGGAGGAAAAAGAGATAAGTTTGAGAAGAAGGGAAGAAGGACTAAAACAGGAAAAAAACAGAAAGAGGATCAAAAAATTGAAAGATAAAGCAATAATAAAATTCAAAATAAATGAGATTACAAAAAAAAAACACAAAACAAAACAAAAAAACTCTTGTTGGTTTTAAACTGTCCAAACCAGGTTTTCTGGTTGCAGTAGGACCTCTCTGTGGGCTATGTTGCCAGTGCGAGCCAGCCAGGCTACCAGACTGGGATGCAGGCGCCCGCACTCCCTCCAGGCTTCCTGTTTCCCTAGCACTCTGGCACAATACTTCCTCGCTGCCAGTCTGGGTGGTAAGCAAGCCAAGCCCTCGCAGGAGAGCACCTCAGTCAACTGCTGCTGACCGGAATCTCAAGGTCCCTCACAATCGCTAGTCTCCCAACTTCATAAATGCTGTGGATCTATTACTTAATTATGCTGTTTCTCAGGAGCTCGGCCAGGCTTTTCACCCACATGTACAGGAGGTGGAGTGCATTCCGTCCTACTCCGTTTCCATCTTCCTCCCTTCATATCCATAATTTATATGCTAGTTGTCATTTAGTCACTTAGTAGCTCTATTGTCAGAAGATCAATAGTAGTAGCCTAATGTTATGTCACAATGCCTACATCATTCACTTCATATCATTTCATCACGTGGCATTCTGTCATCTCGCATCATCATAAGAGAGGTGAGTATAGTACAATATTTTGAGAAGGAGACCACATTCACATAACTTTTACTACAGTATATTGTTGTAATAGTTTTATTTTATTATTAGCTATTATTAATTGCTTACTGTGCCTAATTTATAAATTAAACATTGTCATAGGTATGTATGCATAGGAAGAATAGTATAAATAACGTTTGGTACTATCCAGTTTCGGACATCTCCTGGAGGTCTTGGAACATACCTCCTATAAATGAGAGGAGATACTGTAACCACACATGCACAGACACACACTTTTGATTATGAGACAATCTGTCCCATGGGAAACAGTATGCCACATTCCTAGAACTACATGAATATGTAGCATTCACTTTGTCCCTAATACATAGGCAGCTTTGTCCATTAACTGTTGATATATACAATCTATTTGCTAACTGTTGATGTGATGAGCATTTAGTTTCATAGTTTTTTTAATAGCCACTCATTTATTATAAACATTTGTGCTCCTTGCTATATTACTAAAATAAGAGAATAAATTTACTTTTGAAATTTTTATTGTTGTTTTAATCTGTACATGTATTATGTCTCATGAGCTCTTGTTAATATTAACAGTGTCTTATAAACAAATAACTTTAGGAAATATAGTTGATGAGTCCTTTAAATATCAATCCTTTCAATAAGAGATTGAGATGAGGCTTGTAAGAGATGGATATGAAAACTGCATATGAAAATGAGTTGATAACACTTGAAATTGAGTGATTAGTTCATGAAGTGATGTTTTCTTTTTCTGTCTAGTATTTGCTGTTTGAAATTTTCCATAATAAAAAGATTTAAAGAAAATGTAGAAAGATGAATAAACTTTTATTGTAAAAGTAAAAGGAGGAGTACTTCATCAGATTCCCCCCAATTAGGACCTAGTGGTGGATGTTCAAGATGATGAAGTATCAAAAGACATTAACAAATCAAGACTAGCTTTTGCAATGTTTTGAGACTTGTATAGGCTCAGAGCATTGAAAAGAAAACTCATGTAAATGAATCAGAGTGTTCACAGGTACCTAGGGATCAATTGGTGTCCCAGGAAAACTCTGAGCTAAAATCTGTATGGAGAATGTACCCCTGAACTCAGAGAAACCCATGGTTAGCTTTTGTCTGGTAGCACAGTATATTAACTCCAGTTTTCAACAGTAAGGTGGTCTGCCACCACTGAAAACTAAGAGGTTCTGCAAAACAACACAGTGTTTTAATATTTCAAAATGATGTGCACTGGTATCTCATATAATAGTCAAACTTACAGTAACAGAAAGTAGAATGATGGTGGCCAAGGACTGGAGGGAGGGACAGGTAGGGACTTGCTGTTGTATAGATATAAATAAATGTTTTAGACATCTGTACCTATAGACAACAATACTGCATTCAGCACTTAAAAATATTTTAAGAGGATGAATGTTTCTTTTTAACTTGTTGGTTGTTGGACTTCCAGGCAGTTTGATTTTCTGGCAGTTCAGGTTGTTTGTTGCAAAAGAAAGGAAGAGGGCTATACAAAGTGAAATAAAGGACAATATATAGGGAACCATCAGTGAGGGCAAGGAAGTCGGGACTCAAGTCCATGAATTGGATCAGAAGAAAGAAATAAACATTCAGTGAGAACAGAATGAAGAAACACAAATATAAAATATAAGGAGAGGCAGGAGAACCTCTGGGATAACTTTAAATGTTCCATCATCTGAATCACATGGGTGCCAGAAGGAGAAGAGCAAGAGCAAGAAATTGAAAACATCTTTGAAAAAATAATGGAGAACTTACCCAATCTGGCCAAGGAACTAGACATGCAAGTCCAGGATGCTCAGAGAATCCTAAAGAAGTTGGATCTAAGATGAAATACATCAAGACACATAATAATTAAGCTACCCAAAATTTAAGATAAGGAGAGAATCTTTTTTTGTTGTTTTGTTTTTTTAATTTTATTTAGTTATATTTTTTGGATTTTTAAAATTTAATTATTTTTCAAGTACATTTTTTGTCTATTTCTCCCATCCCAGCTCCCCACCCGCCCCATCTCCCCACCTCCCTCCCATTCCGCCCCCCCCCCCAGTCCTCATCCCTGTGTCTTCCATACTTGTTCCTCAAAATCCCTCCCTGTTTTTCCCCTTAAATTCCCCACCCTCTCCCCTCTGGTCACTGCCCACTTATTCTCTATTTCAGTGTCTTTATTTTTATTCTGCTTGCTTGTTTGTTTTATTGTTTAGCTTCCTGTTAGAGGTGAGATCATATGGTATTTGTCTTTCAGCACCTGGCCTATTTCACTCAGCATAATGCTTTCCAGGTCCATCCATGTTGTTGCAAAGGGTAGTAGCTCCTTCTTTCTCTCTGCTGCATAGAATTCCATTGTGTATATGTACCACAATTTTTGGATCCATTCATTTACTGATGAGCACCTAGGTTGCTTCCAACTCTTGGCTATTGTAAATTGTGCTGCTGTGAACATTGTGATGCATAGGTTCTTTGAAACTGATGTTTTAGGATTCTTGGGATATAATCCTAGCAGTGGAATTGCTGGGTCAAAAGGCAGGTCGATTTTTATTTTTCTGAGAAAATTCCATACTGTTTTCCATAATGGTTGTACCAGTCTGCAATCCCACCAACAGTGAACTAGGGTTCCATTTTCTCCACAACCTCTCCAACACTTGTTGTTTGTTGCTTTGTTTATTATAGCCATCCTGACTGGTGTAAAGTGGTATCTCATTGTGGTTTTAATTTGCATCTCTCTGATAGCTAACGATATTGAGCATCTCTTCATGTGTCTCTGGATATTCTGTATGTCCTCTTTAGAGAAGTGTCTGTTCAAGTCCTTTTCCCATTTTTTAATTGGGTTCGATGTCTTCCTAGAGTGGAGTCATGTAAGTTCTTTGTATATTTTGGAGATTAAACCTTTGTCTGAGGTATCATTGGCAAATATGTTTTCCCATACAGTTGGTTGTCTTTTTAATTTAATACTGTTTACTTTAGCCACGCAGAAGCTTTTTATTTTGATGAGATCCCATTTGTTTATTCTTTCCTTTATATTCCTTGCTCTAGGGGACATATCGGTAAAAATGTTGCTGCTTGGAATATCTGAGATTTTCTTGCCAATGTTCTCCTCTAGGACTTTAATGGTGTCATGGCTTATATTTAAGTCTTTTATCCATCTTGAATTTATTTTGGTGTATGGTGTAAGTTGGTGCTCAAGTTTCATTTTTTTGCATGTAGCTGTCCAGTTCTCCCAACACCATTTGCTGAAGAGGCTATCTTTTCTCCATTTTAGGTTACTGCCCCCTTTGTCAAATATTAATTTACTGTAGAGAGTTGGGTTGATTTCTGGGCTCTCTGTTCTGTTCCATTGGTCTATGTGCCTGTTTTTATGCCAGTACCAAGCTGTTTTGATTACAGTGGCTTTGTAATACAGTTTGATATCACGTATTGTGATCCCTCCTACTTTGTTCTTCTTTCTCAAAATCGCAGCTGCTATTTGGGGTCGTTTATGATTCCATATAAATTTTTGAAGTGTTTGTTCTATGTCTGTGAAATATGTCATTGGTACTTTAATAGGTATTGCATTGAATCTGTATATTGCTTTGGGTAGTATGGACATTGTGATGATGTTAATTCTACCAATCCATGAACAAGGTATATGTTTCCATTTGTTTGTGTCTTCCCTGATTTCTTTCTTCAGGGCTGTGTAGTTTTCTGCATACAGGTTTTTTACCTCCTTAGTTAGGTTTATTCCCAGATATTTTATTTTTCTTTTTGCTATATTGAATGGGATTTTTCCTTTGATTTCTGCTTCTG